ATTATTATTGCCCTGAAAAATATTCACATATTGGATACTTAGACATTTTATAAACTGTTTAACAAGTATGTTATCTCATCCATTATCAAATACACACAGACTAGTAATAAATGATTTTTGCCATTCTGAAAATAGCTCTTATTGTTTTAATCACCTCCAACTAATAGGTGATGTAAAGTCTTTGACTTTGTTTAGTTTTTGGCTCAATATAATGGCTTCATACATGTTTATGTGGCACCCTCGGTTCATAGGTGTTAGTGAGCTAAAAGGTAAGGGCCCAAATCTTTTGGCCTAGAAGACACACTCACATAATGCACAATTAAAAAAAAAACAGAACCATAAAATGTTGGTATGGCTGCCCAGAGCTATTTCTCCCTTTCTTTCACTGAAAGGTATAGCGTCTCTTTACTCTTTGTAGGTAGATGCAAAGATGAACTATTTTACCCAGTGTATCCAGGATAAGACATATAGAAATAGTGCATCTTTTTAAAAGGAAGAAGTGGGTATCTTCTTCCCCCTTAATCCTCATGCTGTAGAACTCACCCTAGTAGAACTTCAACTAGATTTGTTTCAGAGGAGATGAATACGTAGAATTTCAGATCACTTGGCCACTTAGACCAGCTACATATTCTGTGCACTAGTCTCTTCTGCAACATTAGCTAGGTTATAATCCAGCTTGTGTGGGGCATGAAAAGTTCACTGTCTCCTGAAGCCAATTAATTTTGCCTTCAGACCACTCTGTTCGAAAGTTCTTTCTTATGTTAAGTCATCTGACTTCCTGTGGAGGCAATATAATATAGTGAAATGGCCAGGGAAATCAGACAGATCTGAGTCATAACTGAGAGCTAAGTGGGAGACTTTGGGCAAACTTGCCTCAGTTTCCTCATATATGAAACAGAAATAATGATGGCCATCTCATGAACTCATTGAGAAAATCAAGTGGCGTAGCATATGTAAAACACCAAAGATGGTACCGTGATTATAGTAAGTCCTCAGCATGGCTATCGTCTGGAAGTTTTGCCTTTGTGCTATTCCTTCAACCTGAATCATGCTTAAGAAGTCTATATTCCTTTCCACCTCAACTGCTGTATCTTCCCTGACTACCTTTAGCTGTTCTTCAATGACATAATTTGGTTAGTTGCTTCAACAAATAAATGCCATAAAGTTAGATTTTCTTGCAGAGTGCTACCTAGAAGAAATACAGTACTTCAGAGGTAGTCTTACCAATACAAAAATGAACTTGGACCATCACCAGTAATGCATCTTAAGGTCAAAATAATTCATTTGCTTCTTCCCTTTGGGGGGAGCCATGTCATACATTTGGTCAAAATAGCAAGAAAATAGTATCCATGATATCAAACATTTTATTTTTGGAATTTTGATTTAGCTCTTGTGTATTTATTTTATAATGAATTATCTCATTATATACATAGTAATAGTCATTAGGATGAGTTGTACTTTGTGTTAAGATACTATCAAATTCTTTTGTGTCAAATTCTGCTTGATTTTTTTGCAAAGTAATTATATCTTTTTTAAATGGTTATATCTAGTTTATATTTTCTAAAGATGTGCTTTCAGCTTTCAGCTATGCTCATCTTCTGTTTGCCCAAACAAATGTGATTCAGCAATGAGAAATCTGATAAAAACAAAGCAAATGCACACTTACAAAGATACATTGCTGAAGTAGCTGAATTTGAGCTTGAATATTTTGAAATCCTTTCAGTTATATTCTCATGTCTCTTATTGGAATGCAGATAGTTGGAATGAACATAAGATTATCCATATAGTAATTCTCAGTGTGAATTAAAACTATTAAGCATTTTACGTGTAACTAATTTGTTTTTGTGTGTTTATTTTATCTATACATGTGATTATTGATTTTTATAGAGAGAGTTAGATGTATAAAAAGCACTATTACATTTTTACCTGAATAAGTATGCAATTTTAGACATTGTACTTTTGAAATTAAGTAATCTATATTACTTTGATTAAATGTATTTATTTACATTGTTATCTCAGTCATTGAATTAGTTTTATCAAGTTTTTTTTTTTTTCAACAGGACTACCAAAAATAGCTCTAAAAAATGTCTGTGCCTTATAGTTCTGAACTTAACCTACAAATTGGCAATAAGAGACTTGTAAAACTCGTATATGGGGTCTGCATAGTGTTAATGTTTGAGATTTATTTCCCCCAAAAGGTTCATAAACAGTATTGACAAATATATTGCACTCTGCAATTTTGATATGGTCATAATGTAGGATGGGCTGTTTGAAAGATTTAAATAAACATTTAAATTAAATTTGGTAGGCATTCTGCAGCAAGAGTCCTGTTAGTGACTAGCATCAATTTATTTTTATTGAACATTTTCCAAAGAATGACATATGTCTCTTCTAAAGAACTGAGTAAGAGAGTTATTGCAAAATAAACCCTGAATTTTCTGCCATTAGTTGGTAGACTTGTCCATGTAAGGAGCCACATCTATTTTCAATCATTAAAATATACTTTATATCCCTAAAGCATACAATCTCCAAATGACTTTCTTGAGCTCACTTAATTTGGCCCTCTTGTTAATTTTGCAAAGCAATTTGCTGCTTGTTGACATTGTATTTTACCGTCAAGGATTATCTGTTTTGCCTAGTCCTTTTGCTTTTGGTACATGCTTTTTACTTCAGGTTAAAAATAATGTATACCCGTTTTTGTAATTTATTTTATTTGTTAAGAAATAGCACCAGCTATGGTCAGACTCTATAAAGATAGATGTGACTAGGTCATTTTCTCTGTGAAGTTCACCTTTCAGTTAGTAAGATAATCCCAGATAGAGGTATTTATGAAGTAATAAATGCTGTAACAGGACCATGTACAAAGTGCAGTGGAAACACAATTGAGGGTAAAATAAGTTTCATGATTCATTATGTAACATTGTTCCCAATCAATGGTGCAAAGCACAAAAATAATTGTTGATGATGTGTGTGGGAAGAGAAATATGTGAAAACAGTTAAGCTGCTTAGTAAAAGTTTCAATAACAAGTATTCTTAAGAGTTATGATTTTTCATCAGATTATGAGGACATATCTTTTTAGTTTGAATGTGATTATTCCTGCTTAATCAATTTTTGTTAATGCTAAGTAGATCTAATTTTAAATTCAGAGATACCTATTTTCTTTTTATTGGGGACCAAATCACAACATATTCATGACTATATGTAATCTTGGGTGACACCTCTTAAAAATATATAGCTGGGTGTGATTTGAAACAATTAATTGATTTGTTTGTCTAAAAAATGTATTGAGCATCTTCCATGTGCTAGATACTTTACTAGAGATGGACTTTGCTTTCTTGGAGTTTGTAGTCTAATTATAAAATCCCTTGAGCACAAATGGTCATTGTGATGTTTTTTTGAAGTGTTAACTCAGAAATACGTACATATGTGTAGCAACAAGCAACATTTTGTATAGAGGTTATCACCAGAGTAAAAACAGTATGTATCAAGTTTTTTAAAAAATTCAGAATTGTTCCTTTAGGTTGATATTCCGTAAAGGTTTTTGTATTTTTGGAATTAAAGTATGAACAAATGAGCATATCTAGATTGATAGCTACAACAATAGTGCCCATCTCACTTCATGGTTTCAAAAGTAAAGCAAGGGATACTCAATGAAATGTAAAACATTGAAAGTATGTTTCCATGCTAGGCCATGACTAATACGAGTACGGAATTGTCAGTTTGATGTTTTCTTGGTTCATGATTATTTATGCAGCTGTTACTTAACTGACGTTCATTTGGAGTTGAGTGTTGGAACAAGCAATACATTAGATTAAGTGTACCCAAAATGTGTGCTGTAGAGTTGTTTCATGATACCTAGATCTGATGTTTTTTTATCCTCCATATGATACTTCTTAAAGGGAGATTATGCCAGTAGCAATTAGAGAATTGTTTTCCACCCTTTTTTTTTTTTTTTTTTTAAACAGCCTGTAATTCAGCATAGGCGAAAGTTGAACTGATGAGAGGAAGGCAGGAATGTTATCATTTACTGCCTCCAACACCCCCACCCCTCAACCCGCCACCTATCCCTCCAAACTCCCCACGTGCAGAGCAGCTCAAATGTGGTATCATTACTGATGGGGAGGAGCAGGGAGTGCTCAGGCTTCTGCTGCAAGCCGATGTAGGGAAACATGCATTGGAAGGAAAAACTCTGGTTCTCTCTGAAAGTAAGTTAAAGAGGGTTAGGATAAGAAAACCACTGGAGAGCTATAGAACTAATCAGCACATGCAGAGACCCTTGTGGCCTCCTGTAAATGTTTTTCCTCACAATGGGTATTCTGTAGAGAACAAGAAAAGCTGTGTTCCATTTTGGTTCTAGGATTCTTATTTGTTCGGTCTTTACTAAAAAACTCTGATTAAAATATGTTTGATAATTGGGCATTTCAAATTGCATATTATGCATGGGCCTACCTTAAACATGTAGTTTTTTTTCCTGTTGTAAGGAGAGAAGAAATATCTTTCACTGTACGTTTCAATTTTATTCAACCCAATAGGCAGGTAAGAAATTGAAACCCATCTGACCACTGAATTGCTTGTGAATTAAAGGTAAAACAAGATCAGAATATAACTGGCAACATGTATTGGTATCAACAGATTGCTGCTTTTCTTTTTCTTTTTTTCCTGTACAAAAATGAATCATATTGCATTTATATTGATAAATACATAATATTTTAGAATATCCTCAATCAATTAGAATTAAATAATTGTTTATATATCTTACTCTGGATTTTTCTGCCTCACTTTTGTCTTAGTTTTCATTTAAAAAATAGACTATAGAGTATAGATAGGTATAACATGTATAATTTGGCACATTTATCTCATATTAGACTGTAATTTTGAAAATAGTGATAGTAATAATTTGATGCATCTGGAACTTATATTGCTCATATTGTTGTAGATTTTAACATTGTGTTTTTTTTCTTTTTTTCTTCCCTCCCTGCTGCCCCTCTCCTCTCAACAGTCCTGGTACCTGGGCTAGCTTGGTTCCTTTCCAAGTGTCAAATAGGACACCCATCTTACCGGCAAATGTCCAAAATTACGGTTTGAACATAATTGGAGAACCTTTCCTTCAAGCAGAAACAAGCAACTGAGGGAAAAAGAAACACAACAATAGTTTAAGAAATTTTTTTTTTTTTTTTTTTAAAAAAAGGAAAAGAGGAAGACTGGACAAAACAAAGGGTGAAAGGAAAGAAACTGAAGAAAGAAGATAATAGACCAGCAATTGCAGCACTTACAATCACTAATTCCCTTAAGGTTGAAACTGTAATGACATAAAAAGGGTCGATGATATTTCACTGATGGTAGATCGCAGCCCCTGCAACGTAGCCTTTGTTACATGAAGTCCGCTGGGAAATAGATGTTCTGTCTCTATGACAATATATTTTAACTGACTTTCTAGATGCCTTAATATTTGCATGATAAGCTAGTTTTATTGGTTTAGTATTCTTGTTGTTTACGCATGGAATCACTATTCCTGGTTATCTCACCAACGAAGGCTAGGAGGCGGCGTCAGAGGTGCTGGGTGACAGAGCCATGAGCCAGCCATTTTATAAGCACTCTGATTTCTAAAAGTTAAAAAAAATATATAAAATCTCTGTAGCCTTTAGTTATCAGTACAGATTTATTAAATTTTGGCCCTTAACCCAGCCTTTTCCAGTGTGTAACCCAGTTTGAAATCTTAAAAAAACAAAAAATGAAAAAAAAAGGAAAAAAAGAAAAAAGGAAAAAAACAGTTTGAACACAAAGGCTCTATGGAAGAAATGCCTCTATGTAGGTGAAGTGTTATCTCTGCATGCAACAGTAAAAATTAATATAATATTTTCCCCACAAAAGAAACACTTAACAGAGGCAAGTGCAATTTATAAATTTATATCTAAAGGGGAATCATGATTATAAGTCCTTCAGCCCTTGGACTCTAAATTGAGGGGATTAAAAAGAATTTAAAATAATTTTGAACGAATTTATTTTCCCCTCAGTTTTTGAGGGCATTAAAAAGGCATTAAATCAAGACAAATCATGTGCTTGAGAAAAATAAAATTAATGAAAACACAGCACTTATGTTGGTTTAGCTGCAGCCTCCTTGGAGGTAGAATTTATTTATTTAAAATTACTGGTTGCATCAAGAACCCATAGGGTGTACAAAAGGTTCTATAAAATCTGCATTATAGAGACAAAGAGGCAGGCAAATCCATGTCACGAGGGTAAAGCTTACAGTTTACAAACTGGGAACGCCAGGGTGTAGGATATACAAACGCACTCTTGAGAAAACAAATGTAATCAGGGTGCTGAAAACTTGCATGGTGCTTTCAGACATTAGCCTTGTTCAACAAATTTCTTGTATTGACAGATCCATAGTGTGCATGGGCAGACACATTTTGCCTCTATGTCTCTTAAAATTTTAATTAAAAATACTCTTTCCAGTAATCCTAATTTGCACGAAGATATAATGTCCACATTACGTGCCTTGCCTTGAAATCTAAAAAACAAAAAACAAAAAAAAAACAAAAAAAAAAACAACAAAGTGACATCACTACACTTGTTTTGCTGCATTTATTATCATTTTAAATCTTTACCATTTTTATGACAAAATATTTTGTACTCCAGACGAAGAAAAATGTGTGACATCATGGATTTTTTAGACAGTTATACCTTTATCTCACATTTATAAAGCATATCATGGCTGTGTATAGTTGCCGCTTAAAAATTGTAATCGACCAGCAATATTTTCAGTATTTTGGTGTTTTTTTCTATTAACCTTTCATGTTTTTCATCTTCCAATTAATATTTGGGGGGGAGGGGTTTCAAATTTATATGAATTATGCAATACCAAGTTTTGCCTATGTAGGTAGTGCTTTTAGCTGTATTGGTTATTATAGGTAAGTACACAGATTTAAAAAAAAAAATAATGTATGCTTTTTTGTTTGTTTGTTTGTTTTAATTGACCAAAGTGGGTACTGCTATTTTTGCAGTGTGATGAGGTCCTTTTGTGTACTGAGAGATGGACAGGGGATTTTTTTTAATATACATATATATATATTCTGGGGTGGGTGGGAGGATTTTTAACACTTTACAGTGTAGCTGTGAAGCAGTGCACCCTGAGATGGGCCTGGGCTGCAAAGCGACTGTTCTGCCTACTGTGACAAACTTCAACTTACACAGGTTCCCCTCTCTAACTTCCCACCTGGGGTGCAAGCTGAACTCATTACTGGTTTTCATAACAACACTATAGTAAGAACAAGCAAACACAACAAATTCTCCTGGAGGCAGACTTGGCTTAAAAAGGCAGACTTGGCTTGGTGATAGTTTTTTTTGAAAGTTCCAGATCCACAGTGGAGAGTGAGCCTGTCTCATATTTGGCAAAAATATTTGTTGAAATGTCCACATAGGGTATGTTGGATGTTTAACACTTTTGAGGGTTTAACACATGAATATTCTTTCTCCTAGAAAACACATTAGACCTGTTGGAGGGAGTCTCCTGTATTCCTTCTCCACCACTTTTCGTCCCCATTTCATTTCATTAATGATAGGATATGATTTACCTGTGACTTACTACTTCAAATGGATGGCAGTGCACTTGGATTTTTTTTAATATCCAGAAGATTGAACAGAGGGTTGCTATTGTTGAATGTATTTGGACTGATAGATTAAAATCAAGGTTCAATTTTTAAGGAAGAAAAAAGTAAATCCTGTTTTCATTTTACCTGCCCTTTTAAAACTGAGAACCAGAGCAGAAGGGAAATATAGAATTTTAAGCAATTAATCTTCCTGTGGATGAATTAAACCCATTAGATGCTGATGGGATTTTTTTTAAGGAATGGTACCTTAACTATATATTTGATTTCGTTTCCCCTGAGGGCTAGAGGCTGAATGGAGGCTGGTTTTATTTTGCCCTTCCCTCACCCCTCAGTCCCATTGAGTGTATTCATTACTAGAAGGAAAATCTTTCAGAATTAGCGACACATGGTAGGCTGTCTTAAGGAGTCCCCTGGCCCCCTTCCCCTAGGCCATGGCCTAATAAAATAAACTGTCAATTGTTCTCACAGCATATCATTTAATAATGAATACTTTAGAACAATGCTTATGGGCTGGAGAATTGTATTTGATTAGCCCATTCAGTTTGATAGCCCAAATGCTGAACAGCACAGCGGGATCCTAGCAGTGCAAGTTCAAAAGTAAGTCCAATCATTTCCGTGATACTTGCCCTGGTAGCAAACAGATCATCTCAGCCAAGCTCTTCATGTATCTTTGACCTATTAGGTGAACAAATGAACCTCACAGGACACACAGTATTTTTTAAAGGCAGACTCGCTCTCTTTTTTGCCAGTGAATGAGCAGTTCTAGCTAACCAAGTTACACACTGTGGGTATTCCTGCCTGCCTCTTGAATACAAAGGCCTAGTTCAAGTGTTGCTTTTTTATTTCAAATCAATTTTTCCTTCTTTCCTTTTTTGAGATAGAACTATTAAAAGTACTACTATATATATAAAATCTCAAATCAACTTTTTGGCCTCCTCCTCGTGTACCAGGAAGTATATTCTGACGAAGGGCCCCGCTTTTGCAGGTCTTGCACGCCCCTCCCTTACCCAGAACTGCAGAGCTTCAGGATGGTGAAGGTCACCCAAGGGCATGAGTAGGGGGTGGTGTCTCCAACCATCAGTTCTGTGGCACTGTTCAGCCTCTGTGTGCTGCTCTGCCACCCACCACTCACAGTGCCTCTGAAGCGTGTTTCCCCTGGAGTGACGTGAGCATTTGAGGCTTGTCTAAGGAAAAAAATAAAAGGCAGTGAAGGAGACTGTACATAAAGACATGGCAAAAATCTTAATTATAGCAATATAGTTATCGGGTAATGTTCGGGTGGGCAGCTCCATTAAAAAGTATGTGAATGAATCTGTGAAGCTGCAAGTAGCGAGAAGAGCGAAAGGTCTTCTTAATGAACCGCCTACCTTGTAGACAGTAATTTGTACACTGTATAGTTTTGTTAAGAATTTTTTTTAAATTAAAATTCCCATGTTTGTAAAGCTAACTTTTTAACAATTATAATGGAACTATATGTTGTTTCCATTTTTAAAGTAAACAAGAATATTCCTTGTTTAGAGACTGGACTTGAGTTAAAACTCTCCAGTCTCTTAAGTTATGTATTAAAAAAAAAAAATCTGTCCATGTTAGGAGTTATTTCACAGATTCCTGTGCTTGAAAAGCATAGGATACTAATCCTTTAAAAAAGTGTAAATGGAGAAAAGTTATATTTTATGAAGGTTATTTTGTTGTATTTAGTATTGGAAAAGTTGGTTTTCAGAGCATTTCAGAATGTCGAAGCACCACTGTCTTTTTATTAGTATATACGGCCTTTAGCAAAAGTTTTTGTGATTGTTACGTGATGGTATTTAAGGTTAAGTTTCACAGAGCATTCAGGATAGGCAGAAAACTAAAACAGTGCTATGTCTCACATAACGTGTCCTCAGGGAGCAGAATCTTGGATTTGTGACTTGTAGCTTCATAAGGACTCAACGAAAGAGATTGCACAGGGACATCTTCAGCGGTGTGACAGCAGGACATGTTCTTTACCTAGATGCAAATTCTATGTACTGTGTGAAACGATGAAGGCTGCAGAAAGTTATCCCATATTCAGTGTACAGTATTCATTTTTAATGAAACAACTCTACAATATTGCTGGCAGATAGGCCCCAAGCATGACATTCAATATAGTTTACATGTTCCTGTCAAGGTCTTTTGTTAACATTAACCAGCTGCATGCTTTCGGGACTTTAAGAAATTGGGTTTCTATAGAAAACTTTTTTTTTTTTTTTTTTTTTTTAATGTGCAGGCTATTCAAGTTCAATAGTAAAAGCTCAAAATTGAATGTTCTACTCCATGCTGAAGGAGCTGAAAGCTGCCTTCTTCATATTTTGCACTTTCTGGTAGTTCCCCTGTTTTTTCTAATTCCTTAAAATTGTGTGGGTGG